GCTTTCGGGTTATTTAGGGTTTAGGGCCTCATTTAGGGTGTAATTAGGGCGGCCTCAGGGTTCGGTGTTTAGTTAAAGCTTTTGACTTTGGGCTCAGCGGCTGTTTAGCGTTGCTTTGGGTTGCGGGCTTAGTGTGCAGGTTCTACGCTTTGATGTAATGCTTCTTACCCAAAGCGTCCTAAGTACCTATGTAGTGGAATGTAAGGGTTCCACATTAGGAATTCGTATTATGATATGGGCATGTATTTACCCATAAACCCCAAGCCCTAAACCCCAAACCCATAACAGTGCCTAGGACCCTTATCAGCGTTAGGGCTTCTTAGGACGTTGCTCCCAGACTTCGGGTTCGAGGGGTTCGGGTGTAGAGTCACTGGCTGTGGGGCTTCGGAGTTTAGGGTTCGAGTTCAGGGTATGCAGGGCTTTATATAGAAGCCTAAATAATTGCCAATATTACTGTTAAGGTTCCTTATTAGAATTACCCCAAAACCCTATTCTAATCATGAAGGCCCCTACATTAGGTCTTCGGCACAAGATCTGGAACGATTGAGGGGGCCCTACAGGCTTCTTGGAGTTTAAGGCTGTGACTTTGCAATGGCTTCAGGGGTTTTAGGGTTTAGGGGTTGAGGGTTTAGGGGTCTAGAGTTGAGGGTTTAGAGGTTGAGGGTTTGGGGTTTTAGAATTTAGGGTTGAGAGTTTAAGGGCTTTTAGCCATCAAAACCATGCTGCAGATCCACGGATTCGTGGTTGAGTCGTGCTACTTATCCCTTTTTCTGGTAACTTGCCCGTATGGTCTCCCCTAGCTCGTACCCTAAACCCTAAACCCTTAAACCCTGTTTAGGGTTTAGGGTTTAGGGTTAGGTCCCCGGCTTTGGATTTCGCCTGTTTGGGGTTTGGGTTTTGGATGTTAGGGTTGGCTCAGGGCTTCGGCGGTTTGTCCATCCGCTTACTTTGTTGGGGTAAGCTTGAGTCAATGAAGCTTTACCGCCGATGCCTTAAGAAAAAATTCTGAGCAAATCCTGTAGACCTTAAACCCTAAACCCCTAATATAAGGGCCTTAATATTTACCTATACTATTTTGGGGGCTCCTTGTTATACTTATAGTATACTGGGCCCCAAGACCCTATTCCAATTGTTAAGGCCCCTATACTAAACCCTCCTATCTGCAGGAATGACAAACAACTGCAGCTTTTGATGTTGGGCAGGGATGCCATGGTTAGCTCCCCAGGGAGCACAGAAGCCCTCCCTATCCCTAGTGCCTTGCCTCCTGTATGATGTTTGGCACAGGTTTAGGATGCAACGTTCAGTTTCGGGGTTTGGGATTTTAGGTTTTGGGTTTAGGGTTTAGTGGTTTTAGGTAGATATACCTAAACCTCTATAACAAAGGACACCCAAACCGGTTGAAGCTGTGAGCGCCAGATCCTACTCTTGGCACCTGCACGCTTGCAAATGTTACAAGCCCTTTGCTAATAAGGCACCCACCCAACCGCAGATGAAGCCTACCCAAAGCCACTACACCCTTAAAGGACCCCTGAACCCTAAAAGTTCGGCCGTTCCGGGCTATCGCTCTCTGAGCCATGGCCGTCGCGTGTGCACACTAATTAATGCCACCATGGACTTTGTGGCAGCCGCTCGCAACGGCACCCATGTCTACCATGTGGGATCCCTGAAGGACGCCCGCGTTAGGCTTTAAGTTTTGCGGTTTAGGGTTTAGAATTTGGGTTTTGGAGTTTAGTTTGAAGTGCCCTAAACCCCTAAACCCTAAACCTCTATACCCTAACCCCTACACCCCTGAACCCTAACCCGTAGACCCCTAAACCCTAAACCCTCCACCCCTTAACCCTAAACCCCGAAACCCCTAAACCCTAAACCCCACACCCCTTAACCCTAAACCCCGAAACCCCAAAACCCAAAACCCTACACCCTGAACCCACCCTACACCCCTAAACCCTACACCCCGAAACCCCTAAACGCCTTAACCATACACCCCTTAACCCCAAAGGCCCAAAGCCCTAAACCATAAACCCGACACCCTACAACCCGAAACCCCTAAACCCTAAACCTTACGCATTGCGGCAGCTCAGGGCTTTGGTTTGGGGCTTGCAAGGGTCAGTCTTCCGACTTCGGCGGTTCGGTTTCAGCTCTTGGAGCTCTAGAGAAGGCAGGTTTAGGGTTTAGGGGTTTAGAGGTTTAGGGTTTTAGGGTTTAGGGTTTGGGGGTTTAGGGTTTAGAGGTTTAGGGTTTAGGGTTTAGGGCTTGGGGGTTTAGGGATTTAGGGTTTAGGGTTTTAGGGTTTAGGGATTTAGGGCTTAGGGTTTAAGTTCCACGTTTTCAAACCAAGCCGGAACATCCCGACACGAACCGTGGGTCCTGCGTTACAGCCGAAGCCCTAAACGCTGCACCCTACCTGTAGTCTCCATGGTAGTTCTTTTTTTTAGGTTAACCTAAAGGGTTTAGAGTTTAGGGTCATTGAAACTATTTCTGTAGTTAGGATCCTATAAGGTAACCCACAAAAGGAGCTACAAGGGAGACTACAGGTATACCCTAAATCTTTACCCCGAAACTCCAAATCTTTAACCTCCAGTCTCCTCGAAAGATCGGTACTCGTAACTGGTAGGCGAGCTACTATGTGTGTTCCAGCAAGGATTGCACCTTTTTGGGGTTTACCTAGAGCCTCAAAGAGTGAAATCCCCTAAACCCTAAATCCTGAACCCGAAACCGTAAATGTACTTGTCGTTTCGGGTCATATCTTTTCTTTAAAAAAGTTCGTTGGTCACTCTAGGTACAGGTTGCCAGCTTCGTGATCTCACTTTGGGCTCTGAGGGGGTTTAGGGATTGAGGGTTTAGGGCTGTAAGGCTGTAGAGTGTGGTGCTTCAGGACTTTGAGTTTGGGATTTTTGGGTTTAGGAGCTCT